CGAGGATGGAGTGAACGCGCACAGACAGCTGAGTCCTCAGAATGACGATCGGCTTCTTTCCTTTTCTGTGGAAAAATCAGACAGATGCATTTAAGGCCCGTGGGAAAACTCAAGCTCCGGGAGGGGAAATAAAAACAGAAATGTCAGAAAATCCCAAGGGGGAAAAAGGATCAAAACAATGTCATTAAGACATGCCTGAGATTAGTCAAATACTATGAAGTTTTAGTCGGGATACTCTTGATTTATTGTATTTACTAATCAAGTACTTGGCCGCGGTTGCATGAGGAGTTTGGAATTATAACACTATTAAAATGAAACGTAAACAACAAAGTCATCTGGTTTCTTTCTGCTTCTCCCTCTGATCAAACTGTAAAATTGTGCATGTCACTTAAATAAGAATTAAACAACTTGGAGCCGAGCGTTGTGAGTCGTAAAATGTTCCACCTGTGAATCTGAAAAGTCTGTCCACGTCTGTAAATGTCTCAAATATCAGGGTTTTTTTGGGGGTTGGGACTAGGCAATTCGATGAAATTTTCTTAATCGATCGATTATCAATTAATCATTAACGTTTTTATATTAAAATGATCATCATTATTATTACTATCTGCACTACAAATCTGCATAAATAAATTCAACTTAACGACAAATAAACCGTAACGACTCTAGAGCCACATCAGCCTGTTTAACATTATAATGTGTTTAATTCAGTTTTGCGCAACTCTCACAGAAACGAAACTTAAAACCACATCGCTAATTTGCATAAACTAAGCGAAGATAAAACTACAGCTCTTGTGTCGCTGATGCGGTTCAACTTCTGTCGGATTAAAAGACACGACTCAGGTGAATACAGGTTAGTGTGACCAGATTTGCGTTTGTCAAAACCAGGACACCGTACGGGGGGAGGGAGGTGGGGACTCGTCATCGACATTGCGCGACTCTCACCTGGTAAAGCTTTTTCCTACTGGACACCGAAAAATATGTGCTGCTTTGTACACTGTGCACATGGACTCACACTTGTCCCCACCAGAACGGAAAGTGTGGAATTTCTTGTTCAAGTCATCGTTAAATACACATTTGTGCTTCGGTACGTTGCAGACTGACCGACTGTTTGTGTCTCGCTCCTTCTGAGTGCAGAGAGACACATGTACGGACCCGTTTGGTGACGCTACGCACAGCAACTTACATTCGGTTTGTCGATTAAAATTTACATAATCGATGAAATTCTTAATGATCAATTATCGATTAATCGACTAATCATGCCCATCCCTAGTTGGGACGAAACACAATTTACCACAAGACAAGATTTTAACATTATTCCTTATACCATATTTTTCGGACTATCTACACACTGTTTTTCATGGTTTGGGTGTTTCCTGTGACTTACATTCAGATTCGACTTATATGTTAAAATTTTCACACTGAAGCTGTGAGAGGCTCTAGTCGTTGTGTGTCAGTATCTGCTGTTCCTGTTCCTCCTGCACCACTGTCACTTCGCTCTACTGCGCATGTCTCCTGCAGAAAGAGCCTCTGTCCTGTCTGCGTCATGTCAGTCGATCGCACCACTGAAAATTTAAAGTTTAAGTGACTTCAGTGACACCGAAACCATCCTGTCGGGATTCAGAAACGACGGAATAATTCTAACTGGAACTGATGCTGAGTCTGACGACAGCGACACAGAAGAGGAAGTGACGCTCTGTTTACCTCCGGAGGTCGAGGAGTTGCTCAGAAGTGACACCGAGGATGAAGAATTGAATGGATTTAGTGATTTGGAGTGAGATGGAGAGTTTGGTAAACTTGTTCTGTTCTGTTGTTTATGTTATAGTTTATCTGAGGAACTGTTCATATGTGACGTTAACAGTCTGTTGTTCTCTGTTCTATTGTTTTTACTAGAACTTTCAAGATGAAATGTCGGTCCCTGATCAGTGATTTTTTCAAATAAATTTCCCCCAAAAAGTGCGACTTATAGTCCAAAAAATACGGTATAAAAATTTCATGATTCAGTTTCCGATTTTGGATTCTGAATTTTTGTATTTGATTCGATATTTTTGTTTCCATTTTAGTCCCAGAAATCAAATTATAATAAGATTTTTATATGTGTGTGAATACAGCCAGTGAGGAGTGGAAGAAAAAACTAGACAGAAGTCCAGTTCAAGTCATTAGAGGTGGGAGACATGCGAGTTAATCTGCATTTGTGGTTTTGGAGATATGCAGTGGTGTAGTGGGGATTATTTAAGTGGGGGTACGCGATTCGTGATGCCATTGATGTGATGAATCCCCCCCACCCCCAAAAGCCATATTACTCAACTTGATATGCCGAAATGCACACAGGTGTCATATAGTTTTTTTTTTTTTTTTTAAGAAACAATCACTTTCAGTACAAACAAAGTCACCAGCCCAGGAAAAATCTGTAATATCTGATGTTTTGGGTTTTTTTTTTCACTCAAAACGATGCAGAATCACATAGTAACATTAACATTAACTCAACATCAATCAAAACAGAACATCATCATAGGCTACAACACACGTGCCAGGACCAACCAGAACTAAACCAGGTCTGAAACCAGGTTTGAACCATTGGATGAATTTTGGACTAATTTTGGACTTGAGAGCGAAAGGGAGAACCCCAACCCCATGGAGCAGGGTGTCGCCAATCGGACGTGGTAACATTAACTCCACTCATCTGTGCATAAATGTGCTACCCCGTGAGGCGCGGAGCTCTGAGCCGGTCTAAACCTTTCTCCGGTCTGAACCGAATTTTGGACTAATTTTGGACTTGGCACCCCAACCTCATGGGCCGGGTGTCCGCAAAGCGTGATCGGAGTCCTGGTTCCTCAGTCCCAGGTCAGGTCCGGCAAGGTCACTCACTCAGTCCTAGTCCTGGAGAGTACGGAGATATGTACATTATAATATATAGGTGTGTATTCAACTAAACAAATTCTTGGTCGACTAAAGGCGTGTCCTGTTGTTCGTTTGGGCGACTAAAAAGGGGACATGGCAAAAGTTCTCAAATGTCTTACAATTCTCTGTGTATCTGACCCAAACTGCACTCAGAAGACTAGACCTGCAGGGGGAGTTCATGCAAAAAGTACTATTTATGCAGAAAAAAGTACTAGGAAGCAATGTATTTATATATAAAGACCGTAAACTTGTGAATCGTGAGTTGAATCTGCCTTTTTTAACATGTAAATACCAAAAAAGACCAAAAAATACCAAGCCAACTCACTACTTTCTCCTTTCTGCTGTTGTAATCTAAATAAAACAAACCTAAAAATACATGTCCATTTAAAACAGTTTTAAAAAGCTGCAAAAAGACATAGAATAAAATAAACTTGGAATAAAACAAACTCGCAAAGTAATCTTTTAAATTACAGGGTCCAGAATAACATGTCTGCGCTGTTGTATTACAATCTATTCTTATTTTGTGCGATTCTTGAACCTCAAACCAACATTTATTTTAGGCAGGTTTTAGCACATTTGACGATTGCTATAATATTGTTGATCTTGTTTTGTGTGGTGCTTTTGTAAACACTCAGAAGGTGCTGGTAAAATGGTAAAGTAATAAAAACAAAGTAGATTCTCACGACAAAATTGTAAATATGCTACTTTTGTCTTTGGTTCTGTCATAATCCAAAGAAATAAAATCTAAAAACGCTGAATAACCCTTATTTCTTCATGTAGTGGGCACTGAACCAGAGCAAAGGATTATGGTCCATGTAGTTCACTTGGGGTTTTTTAGCTACTGCTGCACCAAAACAATGAATATAAGCAAAGAGACTTGTAATTCAATATATTGTGATGCCCCCCGGTGTTATCATATATTAGTTATTGTTATATCTCTATAAAGCAAGAAGACAGACATTACTGGGATGGAAAATATTTTGGATTTGAGATTTAATTTGTGTGGTTGTGTCCAACAAGTATGATAATTTATTCAATACGATCTCGTACAGTTTTTGAAAGCACTGAAGTGGGCTCTCGGTTATATTTTGTGCAAGAAATTAACCTAAATAAACCTGGAAAATCTGCTCAAAGGTAAATGGTCACATTTTTATTTAGAGGTTTTTTAAAGGCACTCAAAGCTAGCCAGGCTGGCGCTACCGAGTGCCTCTGCTCAATTTAATTTCTCTCCAGGGACTAGGTCAGAATCGGAATTCATTAGTCGGCTCGCAAAAACCTCGGAAGTGCAAATTCAGGCAGCAACCAATCAGCGAAGAGCCATAGATTCTGTGTTGGAAACGATTCCCGAGATCGAGGATTTAAAGCCGGGAGAAAGACGTTATTGTCCTTCTTCCTACGAGATTTGGGAAAAGCTTAATATACCAGTTAAACCCGTTAGCAGCGCATTACATATGTGACGACCAAACAGCAGCAAATGGTTAAATGTTTAATGTTGCTGTATATAAACACAGTCCTATTACTGTAAATGCTGCACTGTTACTTTTATTGTACATAATCATTTGAAAGTCTTTTTTTTTTATTATTATTATTTTTAAGCCTTTATCTATTATCTGTTTTATTGCATGTTACATCCCTGCTGTTCTTGAATTGCGCGTTGCAACACTGGAATTGCCCCACTGTGGGACTAATAAAGGCATATCTTATCTTATCTTCAATAAAAAAGTACCCGTCTACCGTCAAGCGAACAAATCCTAATGCTGCGAGGTCACACGGTTTCCACAAAGTGAAACGGGCTGATGAATCAGGATTGTGATGGCCCACGATGTCACTAAATATTAGTTATTGTTATACCCTGACAAAGCAAGAAAAAAGACATTGAGATGGAAAATACTTTGGATTTGAGATAGAATTTTACACAACTCAAATGTGAGTGTGTTTTAAGCAAGAAATTAACCTAAATAAACCTGGAAAATTTGCTCAATGGTAAATGGTCACATTTTGGTCAAACTTTTCCATCTTCAAGGCACTCAAAGCGCTTTACAACAAGGAAACATTCACCCAAGTCTGTGCAATTAATTGATTTTTGATCTCAATTTGGATTTGTCTGTCAAACGATCTCCGAACTCATATTTGAGTTGAAACGATTTACGTGCCAGCGAAAGTGAAGACCGGGGCGCATAATGGGGAGCTACGGTAATGATTATATCCATAAACTCACTGATGTTTTTCTATGCCTTATTTCATCTTCAAAGTATATTTTATTCATTTTATGTTTCATACATCGCAAAACTGCTCTAAGGAACACTACAAAAGTTTTAGAACACCCTAATTTTTCCAGTTAGTTATTGCAATTGAAGTTGTGCAAGTCAAATGAAGAGCTTGAAATGGTACAAAAAGGTAAAAACTGAACAGAAAAAAACGATAAAAGATACAAAACACAAGTCCAAACTCTGCCAAAACTACCTCAGGAAAAAAGAACAAGATGGTAAAACTTGAAAACATGAAGTGTCCAGCACAGTGTCCAGACTTAAACTCCCATCGAGCTGGTTTGGGATGAACTGGACAGAAGAGTGAAAGTCAAGAAACCTACAAGTGCCACACATTTATGGAAACTTCTGCAACAGACTTGGGAAGAACTTTCTGAAGAATATTTGATTTCTTTTGTAAAAAAAAATGAGCCACGAGTGTGTTCAGCTGTTATATCTGGACACTTTCATGAATCACAAGTTTAGAATACGTTTTGGTCAATAGTAAACAATCCGTGTATCATTCGTTCATTCGTTTTTCAATATAAAACCAAAAATAAGAAAACGAAAAAACAACAGTTTTCTTCGCTATTTGTCTCCAAAACCAAAATGAAAAAATGGATAACGATTCGTTTTTTCAGTTTTCGATTTTATGTTTAAATGAAGAATGGAAAAAACGGATAACGGCCGTTTCCCGTTTACGTGACTTCCGTGACTTCCGTGACTTCCGTGACTGCGATGCCGAACTTTTGCACCGGGTATGGACTAAACTAGGACTGATCCAGGTCTGAGACCAGACCGAGACCAGAGCAGGACCAGAGCGGGACTGGGGCAGACTCCAAGCTTTGACTCTGAGCCTCCGCGGGGTCCAAGCCTCAGCTTCGAGCTCCGGCCCTGTCGTGGGCTCTGAGCCTCCGATCTGATCTCGGTCTTGTCTCGGTCTCGTCTCAGTCTCGTCTCGGTCTCGTCTCGGTCTCGTCTCGGTCTCGTCTCGGTCTCGTCTCGGTCTCGTCTCGGTCTCGTCTCGGTCTCAGGCCCGCTCCGGTCCCGGTCTGGTCCCAGTCTCAGTAGCGCTCTGGTCCCGGTCTGGTCCCGGACCTGGTCCATTTGAACCAAAAGCTCTTAGTTCGGTTCGTTTTCGTTGGTGTGAAAGCGTCAGTTGGATGTTTTGCACCACCTCGGAACCAGCCGCGGTTCTGGAGCAGCCCGTCCGGACCTGTAGTCCACAGCGCATTCTCACTTTCCCCGCACGGACCCAGCGCGGAGACGATGACACGGAACCGCTTGGACCACTGGTCTCGGTCTCAGTTCCGCTCTGATCCCGCTCTGGTCTCGGACCTGGATCGGTCCCGGTTCAGTCCGTACGCTGTGCAAAAGTTCGGCATCGCAGTCACGGAAGTCACGTAAACGGGAAACGGCCGTTATCCGTTTTTTCCATTCTTCATTTAAAAACAAAATCGAAAACTGAAAAAACTGATAATTATTCGTTTTTCATTTTGGTTTTGGAGACAAATAGCGAAGAAAACTGTTGTTTTTTCGTTTTCTTATTTTTGGTTTTATATTGAAAAACGAATTAACGAATGATACACGGATTGTAAACTGTTAAAAAATGGAAAAAGGGTGATGTTCTAAAACTTTTGAGTGGTTCATGTACATAGTTGCAGCCTATATTAATTTCCGATGTGAAAGTTTTGCTGAAATGATCAATAACAAAGTGTTTTTTTGAGAGAGACTTGCTGAATAAATGCATCAACACAATGATTTTAAGGTCGAGAGCAGGATTCAAACCACCAACCTTCTGATTAGTGAACAAACGCTCTTACCAACTGCGCTACTGCCGCTCAAGTGACTTTGTTAAATAATAAAAAACTCAAATAATTCCCAGTAGCAACCACACAGACAAAGCCAAGATGTCTTTTCACTCAGGTCAGGCAGAGGGACCGAGTCAGCAATAAAAGGATCACACATATTTATTTGGGCATCTGGAAAATGCATTAGTTTGTATGCACTTTCCATCTAGGTACAGAACATTAAATTATTATTATTCCTGTACACGTTTTACATTTCTGAAGTGCCATGAGCAGAACTGTAATAAGATCTGATCCCCGAGTATTTGATTTTCCATCGACCTGACCCGACAGCGGTCTTAAAGTGCTCCAAAGTGGAAAGAATCATATAAAAAGTGGGTTTTAATTCTGTTTCTTTAACCAGTGCTATTGAAAAGTGCTTTTTCAGAGTTTCAGATGAAGCGTCATCACTGCAGTTTCCAGGTCAGTCTTTTCTTATGACGTTTTCAACCACCTTCTCCAAATGCGGTCTGTCTACGCTGGTACTAACTTTTTCCTCTCCAGCGTGAGTGTAACCAAGGATAATAAATAAAACAATAAAACAAAAACTTAGACGGAATACAAGAATCATAATTAATCGCAGTGAAGACCTTTTTTGTTATAAAACATTAAAGGTCCATTGTGTACCTTTTCTAGTAGAGGCGCGTCTAATGTTTTTTCTCCATGGAGATGATGTTGTTTTGTCTGGAATGTTTCAAAGTTGCCACGTTTACATGAGAGGTTTAATTCAGAAAAAAAAAATAATAATAATTCTGAATTCCGCTTTAAAAAGATCATATAAACACTTAACTTCTAATGATTATTGAAAATGATTATTTATATTTAAACTTAATTCCTAAGTAAGTTGGTGGTTTATTCCGATTTTAAAGCCAAATTAATTTATTTCTTGATCATGCAAATGTTATGTTTATTCTTCTTAATAATAATTCCGGTCATTCAGTGCATGCTTGTTGGGTCGCTCTTTCGGCTCCACCAGTCCTGGCTTCGGACTTTCTTCCATGTCTCTTTGGATTTGCGAGCGGGACGCGGGAGTGGGCTGAGGTAGAGCAGCCGCTGACTCAGTTCGTCTTCTTCCTCCATTCTCCTCCTCAGCTCACAGACGTAAAGAGTCGTGACAGAATTCCCCGGCTGCTGCTTATTTAACATCGGAACCACTGCAAAAAAAGTTTGTCTCATGTTTGTGTCCGTGTCCTAACGACAAACTGAGATGACAGAAAAGCCGGTAGCAGCTGAAGTGTTTTATTCTGGTCGTCGTAAATACGTTCGTGTCCCTGTCCAATCAGAACCCTTCCACACCCCCAGACGTTGATCGGAATTAAATAAAGACAATTTAACGTGATTTCCATGTAAACCTCAATTCAGAATTATTATTTCCATGTAAACTCAAAAGGAGAATATTTTAATTCCAAACAATTTAATTCAGAAGAGAAAGTGGTGCTCCGTTTACCTCTGGAGGTCGCAGAGTTGCTCAGAAGTGACACCGAGGATGAACAATTCAATGGATTTATTGATTTGGAGTGAGATGGAGAGTTTGCTAAACTTGTTCTGTTATTTTATGTTATAGTTTATCTGAAGAACGGTTCATATGTGACATTAACAGTCTGTTGTTCTCTCTTCTATTGGTATTAATATAAGTTTCAAGATGAAATGTCGGTTCCTGGTCTCTGTTTTATCAAACAAATTTCCCCCAAAAAGTGTGAATTACAGTCCGGTATGACTTAAATTACTTTTTTCTTCTTCATTACGCATTTACTGGCTGCAACTTGTACTCCAGAGCGCCTCATAGTCCGAAAAACACGGTACTGAATATAAATGGTGGCCCTCACTTCTGTAATTGCTGCTGTCAGTCTTCTTATTCTGACCTTAAAATGTTTGTATTAACCCGTACAAGCGTATTATTTTGCCATTTCGCTCATAAATCAAGATATGAACATTAATAACAGGCCAACGAGATGCCTTTTTTCTCTGAGGAATGCTCCTGCTAGCGTCAGCAGTTTTGATTGTGCACTTAGTCCATTTCTACACAGTCTATGGTTTGAATTTGACATTAAACTCCAAAATATCAGACTGTCACAGGGATCACATCACAATCTTGAGTTTCACCACATTGCCCAGCCCTGCTCAACTTTAAATATAAAGTGAAAGTAAAAGCACTCACTCTACGTCCTCGTAGAAAGTCTCCAGCTCGTCCCTCTGCTCGTCCAGAGAGGAGTCCAGGTCCAGGTAGTTTCCACTGGGAGAGAGCTGCAGCGTGCATTCCTCCAACTGAAACAGAAGACACTCAATCAGACATACAAAGAAACAAGTGTTGACCTCATTCTGCACATTTTTTACTCTAAATGTGACTAAACCGTGCTTTATTTGTGGTGGCGGTGCACAGATTCTCTAGCCTGATGCACAAGATGGTTTCACTTCTTGGAAACCGTCTGACCTCAGAGCATTAGGATTTGTTCGCTCAACAGTAGGCGGGTATTTTTTTATTTAACCAGTTTGGTCGTGACATATGTAATGCTCCAAATCTTATAGGAAGAAGGGCAATAACGTCTTTCCCCTTGCTAAAATTCACCAAACATTCTTTTTATTCCACCTTTAAATCCTCGATCTCTGGAATCGTCGCCAACACAAAATGTCTGTCTTCGTCTACATCCATTACAACGCTTTGTTTACTGTTGTGTTGTACCACAAATGGGACCCAGACAGGCGCTTGAGTTTGACGTCATGGCTTCACAGATCTTCGCTGATTGGCCGGTGCGAGATCTACAACTTTCTGGGTTTTTGCAAACCGTCTATTGTATTCTAATTCCTGACCTAGTCGCTGGAGAGAAATGAAATTGAGCAGAGGCACTGTCTACTGATTCTCTGGGAGGTTTTTAAGACGTCCTTGTTGTCTGTATAGAAAATATCTGCCTCTTTTAAAATAATACAACCCCAATGATGATAATGGAGCCCATGACAACTTCTGGAATAAGGTGAACACACTGAAACATACACAATCAGTCATACAGGGAGAGAGCTACAGTGTGTTCTCCTCCAACACAATACTCTGTCACTAAAACAGTGTTAAATATCATGTGTGACACATGTTTTCACTGAGCAGGAGCTGTTTAGAAAGTACTGTACAAGCTCCAAGTCAAAGCCTCATCCTGAGACGTTCAGCAGGGCCAGTGTGAGATAGTATTTTGACCCCCATAGTATATTATTATTATTATTATATAGATACCGCTATAGTAAAATCCCCCATAGGATTTTGACTCCTCTTACTTTTTTCTTTACTAGTTACTTATATGATCATTATTTCTCATGTAATTTACTTTTATTATATATTACTACATATTCACTTTCTTTTAAAGGTATTTTAAGGAATGTTTTGATGAATAACGACTTGATATTTTGTGTAAATGTAATGCATTGCATATAAAATTGCACATACAGAGCAATCTTGTCACATCTTTTTATATTGTATTTTACATTGTTATGGTTTTTAGTTTGCCATGTTCAGATAATCCTTAATTGTAATGTCAATTTAGGCAATGGTTTTTAAGGAAAATGACCTTGAATTTAGTCATGTTGTGTTATTAAATCTTCTCATATCCCCTATTTAACTACTCAACTGATCAGTCATGTCTATTTTAACAAGATTCCAAATCATTATACATCACTTTGATTAACTAACTAATTAATAACTAATCTCATTTTCAGTAAAATATGTGTTTAAAAAACTAAGTAATTTTTAACACTCAAAAGTTATAATCGACATAAAAAATGCATCTGAGTTCTTCAAAAAACACTTTTAAATATGTCAATATTTTTTTATTTGCAGATATAGTATTAATAGTCAAAGTTTTTCTATAGAATTTAAGTTCTTTATTATAAAATATAGATTTTCACAGGTGGGTCACCATACCATAATAGGATTCTGACCCCGGGGTCAAAATACTACATGGTATGTTGACCCTGGGGTCACCTCACTGCGGGGTCAGAATCCTCTACCACACCGGGCCTGATTAAGGGCCTGTTTACACAAGAACGCTTGTGGGTAAAAACTTTTAAAAAAAAAAAAAATTTCAGAAGAGCTTTTCATTTAGACAGTGACACCGTTTTTGGGGTTTAAAAATGCAAAAAACTGAAACCTCCCTCCAGAGTGGAAAAGTTGAATAGACTCGCCGTAGTGTTTCCATCTACACTGCCCAAGATGCAAAACTCTGGTCAGATCTTTTCACGTCACGTATGCGTTTATGTCACATCACCGCCGAGCCTCCTGGCATGCATACCCAATCGAATTCCACACACTTTTGCGTCACCATAGCCATGCAGATTTCCTCCTGAAAACGCTCATCTGAATGTGGAATCAAAAAACGCAACGCTACTTTTGCGTCCTCTGTTCAGACCGTCATCATGTAAATGTAGCCTCAGACTTGAATGGGAGAATACTGAGCATACAGATGCCACAGTGCCCAAAACTGTTGTTGTGTCCTTGGGCCACACTAGAATGAATGTGGTGAGCGCTGGTGGTGTCTGGAGGGGCAGATGGCATAAACTGTCAGCCTCGCTTCTGCCCCAAAACTAAACAACCACTATAAATGTTGTGGCCTTTTGCAGTGGGAGTTGAAAGGACACTCCAAATCACATGTGTTACTGTGCAGAGTGCATCCTTTTGGAAAATGAGACTGCAGCTGGCCCACATGCATTCTGTATGAGACTCATCAGGTTACACTACAATAAAAGGCCAATGAGACGTGTCTGTGTGTTAAACCCGGGTCAGGACAAACTCTCCGCTGTCGGGGACAATATAAACAAAACTAATATAACCAGTTCTACTTTCCTCTGTCAGAAAAAACAACACAGTGACAGGAGCACAGAGACTGACGGTGTGTGCGTGATTGGAGATTATAGATGAACAAGATGAATGAACTGAGCAGAGACTTGAAAGGTCAGACTTGGAAAACGGTGCTCAAAGGAAACATATAAAACAAAGTAAACATTTATAAGCTTGTTACAATTGTTTTCCAGTATCGTCGGCTTACTCAGAGTTAATTGTATTTCGATTGACTCATGCATCTTTGTTTGAGCAACCAAAAGAGAATCAAATAAAAGCAGCTTTTATGTACTGCGAGCTTCCACCTCCACAAACCTGACTCTTGTTTAGCACGGCCTAAACAGTTCCATGGAAATTAACCTTTCCTGAATGATCTTGAGCTGCATCAAAACAAGTATAAAAGCACATGGACCACTGAGGGATTACACAGATATAAGACCACATGGGAATATAAAAAGAAAGTACTGCGATTTAATGTTGAAAGTCACATTCTGTTGTCTAAAGCAGCGGTTTTCAACAGGAAAGAGCCACACAAACAAGTGAAGAAAAAATAATGGACGGTCCACATCTGTACACATCTGCAGCAGTATTGATATCGGTGATTGTCTGTGTATGTATCAGCTGTAAAATGATGTCGCCATTCAGACAAACTACTCGTAGTTTAGAGCGTCACCTTTTTTGCCTCGTATACGCCGCATAGACCATGTCTCTAAACCAGGTCTAAACCAGAACTAAATCCAGGAATAAACCAGCAGTAAACCAGCAGTAAATCAGGACTAAATCAGGACTAAACCAGGTCTAAAAACCAGGACAAAAATTATGTCACCATTCAGACAAAGTACTCATAATTTGGAGCGTCACCTTTTTTGCCTTGTATACGTCGCATAGACCGCCTCTAAACCAGGTCTAAACCAGGTCTAAACCAGAACTTAAACCAGGAATAAACCAGCACTAAATCAGGTCTAAACCAGGACTAAACAACACTAAACCATGACTAAAACCAGGACTAAAAACCAGGACTAAAACAAGGTCAGACTACTAAACCAAGTCTAAACCAGGTCTAAACCAGGTCTAAACCAGGTCTAAAACAGGACTAAACCAGGACTAAACCAGCACTAAATCAGGTCTAAACCAGGACTAAACAACACTAAAACCATGACTAAAATCAGGACTAAAACCAGGACTAAAACCAGGACTAAAACCAGGACTAAAATCCAAGACTAAAACCAGGACTAAAAACCAGGACTAAACCAGGACTAAACAGGTCTAAAACCAGGTCTAAACCAGGTCTAAAACCAGACTAAACCAACTAAACCAGCACTAAACCAGCACTAAACCAGGACTAAACCAGCACTAAATCAGGTCTAAACCAGGACTAAACAACACTAAACCATGACTAAAACCAGGACTAAAACCAGGACTAAAACCAGGACTAAAATCCAGGACTAAAATCCAGACTAAGACTAAACCAGGTCTAAACCAGGTCTAAACCAGGAAAACCAGGACTAAACCAGCACTAAACCAGCACTAAATCAGGTCTAAACCATGACTAAAAAAATGACTAAAATCAGGACTAAAACCAGGACTAAAACCAGGACTAAAATCCAGGACTAAAATCCAGGACTAAAATCCAGGACTAAAAATCCAGGACTAAACCAGGACTAAAACCATGTCTAAACCAGGTCTAAACCAGCATGAAACCAGGTGTAAACCAGCACTAAACCAGGTCTAAACCAGAACTAAAACCAGAACTTAAACCAGAACTTAAACCAGGACTAAAACCAGGACAAAACCAGGGCTCAGTTGTCTTTACCTTCTCAAAGGGGAGGCTCACGTTCACCGAATTTGAAAAACCCTGGTCTAAAGAGTTTTTAATCATCATATCACAATCAGTACTGAGAATCGAGTCTTTCAGATTCGACAATACTACGTGCTACCTCCAGAAAGTTACACAGAATAACTAATTTTATATTCATAGTTGAACCGTATCCTTGACAGTTCTTCTCTCATGTCTATTCTTAGCCGTTTGAGTCACTTTGAGTTTCCTTGAGTCTGAATATCTGTGGTTTTAACTGAGCTCAGACTCGGTGTTTTTGGTTCTGTAATGACAGGATGTGTCACTCACTGCTCCGAGGGAGGTTCACAAATGTCTCCTCTCACAACAATGGGCTTACAGGGACAATACAAACACAAACCAGCCTGGATTTAGGTTAAACTCGGAGATAAAGATAGAAAAGAATGAAAGTGAACAAAGGAGCAACTTACAGGGGAGAATTAGAACAGTAGCAGCCAAAAGTTTGAACACGCCTTCTCATTTAAAGCTTTTTTTTTTACTACTTTCTACATTTTGGATACATACAAAACACATCAAATATATGAACGAAACAATATATACGTAATTATGTAGTAAAGAACAAAAGGTAAATAACTCAACAATGCAAAGGGTGGA